GGATGAACACAGCAGGCCAAGCAGCATCAGAGGAGCAGGAAGGCTGACATTTTGGGCCTTTTCTGCTTCTCTGATGCTGCTTGGCCTGCTGTGTTCATCCAGCCCTGCACCTTGTTGTCTCGGATTCTCCAGCATCTGCAGTTCCTACTATCTCATGTTAAAATTTGATATGTTTCAATCAGATGCCCTCTCATCCTTCTAAACTTTAGTGAACACAAATCTAGTTCAACCAATCATTCGCTATGGGACAGTATTGCCATCCCCAGTATTGGTCTAGTGAACATCTGCTGCAGTACCTCCGCAGGAATTATATCCTTTCTTAGGTAGAGAGACCAAAACTGCATGCAGTACTCTAGGTGTGGTCTCACCAAGGCCCTGTATAACTATAGCATGACATCCCTATTTCTGAACTCAAACCCTTTTCCAATCAAGCCCAATATAATATTTGCTTTCCTAATTGTTTGCTGCATCTGCCAGCCTACTTCCATTGACATGGTGTATGGAGACACCCAAAGCTCTTTATACATCCACACTTCCTAACATATCACCATCTATATAATCTTTCACATTGAAGTGCATAACTTCATATTTAGCCACATTTTGACTGCATTTGTTTGCCCACTCACTCATCTTGTCTAAATCACCTTGAAGCCTCCTTGACTCCTCCTCACTACCCATCCAGTTTTGTTCAATTACCAAACTTGGAACTTTTGCATTTAGTTCCTTATCTAGGTTTTGTATATATATCACAAAAAGCTGGGACCTTGTGGTATCCCACAAGTCACTGCCTGCTACTCAGAAAAAGACCCATTTATTTCCATCTCCCTTTTCGATCAACTAATTCTTGATCCATGCTAATCCTTTCGCCATCCCATGTACTTTAAATTTGACCACAAATCTCTTATAACTGACCTTATCAAAAGCCTTCTGACAATCCAAATACACCACATCCCATGGTTCTCCCTTATCTATTCTATGGGCTGCATCCTCAAAAAAACTCCAGCAAATTTAAGCATGGGTTTGTCTTTCGTGAAGCCATTCTGTCTTTGCCTAATTCAATTAATGTTTTTGAAATGTTTTATCATCACATGCTTTATAATAGAATTTAGCATTTTCTCCACTGCTGATGTTTGGCTGACTGGTCTGTAACTCTGTCTTTTTCTCTCCTTCCCTTTATTTTTAAGTAGTGGGGTTACATTTGCACCATTGTAGTATTCTGGGATATAGATTATCAGGCCCTAGGGATTTGTCAGCCTTTCACCCTATTCATTTCCCAGCACCTTTTTTTCAAACTAATTCTGATTTCCTTCATTTCCACCCACTTACCCTTAGCTCCCTAATATTTCTGGGAAGTTATCTGGTTGTTCACATAAGTGGGCACAAAGTATGTGTTCAATTCTTCTGTCATTTCTTTGTTCCCTATTATAAATTCACCAGTTTCTGATTTACAAGGGATCTACATTTATCTTTAATAATCTGTTGCTCTTCACATATTTTTAGAAACCTTTGCAGTCAGTTTCTATGTTCCCTCCAATTCTACTCTCATATGCTATTTTCACCTTCTCACTCAAACTTTGTCTTCTTTTGCTGAAACCTAAAATGCATCTAATCCTCAGACTTACTGTTTTTTTTTTCAGGCAATTTTATATCTCCTCTCTGAATCTAATAATACATTTTTTTAAAGCCATGATTGAACCACCCTTCCTCTTTTCCACCTCACCTGGAGTTGAGTTCCTTTTTCCACGTTTGGACCAAGGTTGTAATAAGGTTGCATGAATCTGGTGGAATCAAAACTGAACATCAAAGAACAGGCTATGCATTTGCCTCCTGACATCACTGTCAATGACCCCTTCTATCACTTTGCCGATGATAGACAGTAGACTGGCAGGGTAAAAATGACCTCAGTAACATTTATCCTGCTTTTCATGGACTGGACATACCTGGGAAATTTTCCACATTGTTGGGTAGGTGCCAGTCTTGTAGCTGTACTGGAACAGCTTGGCATTGGGTATGGTTAATATGCAGATCTTCAATGCTGTTGCTGGAAACGATGCTAGAACCCATTGCCTTTGCAGTATCCAATTCCTCCAGCTATTTTTTGATATCACATGGATTGAATCGGATTGCCTGAAGATTGACATCTGTGATGCTGGGAGTCTAGGACTGGAAGGCATAGTCACAGAATAAAGGGGTGCAATTTAAGACTGAGATGAGGAGGAATTTCTGCTTTCAGACAGTTGAAAGTTCTTGGAGCTCCTTACCACAAAGAGCTGGGGGGAGGGGGTGGGGCACTGATCCTTGTCTTTTCAAGGCTCATAGGTAGATTCTTGATGAGTATGGGAATCAAGAGATAAGGGAAAATGCAGGAAAGGGGACATGAAGAATGTTACATCAGCCATAATCCTATTGAATAGTGCAGCAGACTCAGAGGTATGAACAGCCTCCTCCAGTTCCTATTTCTAAAGGACCTTGACAGAAGGCCAAGATGGATTGTCCACCCTGCACCTCTGGCTGAAGATGGATGCAGAAGCTTCGGGCTTGTCTTTTATACCGATGTGGTTGTTCCTCTGTCATTGCAGATTGGATAGATGTGGATCCTCCTCTTCCACTACAATGTTTAATTGGCCATCAACCTTCATTATAGGAACTAGCAAAACAGTAAAACCTTGATCTGATTATTGGTTATGGAATCACTTAGTTCTGTTTGTTGCATGCTGCTTCTGCTGCATTGCATGCCACTAGTCCTGCATCAGAGCTTCAACAGATTGACACTTCATTTTTAGTATACCTCATCCCCCTACTTGCTGATACGATAGAGTGGGGGATATGCCAGGCCATTACATTACAAGATTGCAGTTGAATACAATTCTGCCACTGATAGCCTTCAGCTCTTCATGAATGCCAGGATAAATGGATATAGATCTGTTCAAAGCTTGTTCCATTTAGCATGCTGGTGGTGCTAACCTCATTGTCAAGATGAGACTTTCTCCCTAAGATATTGTGCAGTGATTACTACTACTGTCACTGCCATGGACAGGGACACTTGTGACAGGCAGAATTGTCTGGACAGTGTTGCCTTTTGTTCCACCTCTTGGTTTCCTATTGCAGCAGCTGTGTAGTCTGGGGCTCAAGCAACTCAGTAACTATTGGCACAGGGGCAAGGTTTAAAGGTGATGTACGAGGCAAGTTTTTTTTACACAGAGGGTGGTGGGTGCCTGGAACTCACTGGCAGGGTAGGTAGTGGAAGCAGATACTATAGTGACTTTTAAAGGGCATCTTGACAAATACATGAATAGGATGGGAACAGAGGGACATAGTCCTCGGAAGGGTAGGGGGTTTTGGTTGTGACAGGCAGCATGTCAGTGCAGGCTTGGAGGGGCAAAGGGCCTGTTCCTGTACTGTAATTTTCTTTGTTCTAACACAGCCACTTCACCCACCCAGAGAATATTCTGTGTCCATGCCATCCTCACTGCTTCATCCAAGTGCTGTTAAACCGGCACTTCTCCAAGTTTATCAGCCGAGATCCAGAGCAGAGCTTAGGACTAGCTTTAGGTGGTAATCACCAGGAAATTTCTCAACTTACTACTTGACTGAATGCTTTGAGATATCACAGGTCTGGAATGAATGTTGACGACCCAAAGAGCAACTTCTATAATCAATCACACCTCATGCTAGTGGCCAGGAACTAAACTCAATTAAAATAATTAATAGAATGTCTCCTTTAGAAATGGAAGCCCTGTTACAGCTGAACACCAGCTCTGCTTAGACCATCTCTGAAGTACTAGATTTACTTGTGGACACCATACCTCAGGAAGAATAAATCAGCCTTCTAGAAGGTAACAGAATGGTAACTGGAGTGCAAAGACACAGACATGCAGTCCCTGCAGCACTGAAACTTAAGGGTCAATCTAATCAAGGTGCTTAAAATGAATAGAGAATTTGATAAGGTAAAAGGAAAAAAGCTACTTCCTCCGGTGGGGAGAAGCAGGACAGAACCTTAAAATTAGAGCAAGCCTGTTCGATGGTGATGCTTCTTCACAAGAAGTCATAAAAATCAGAAACCCTCTCTACCCACAAAAAAAGCTGTTGAAACAGAGGTAAATAGTAAATTTCTAAACAAAACAGATGCATTAAGGACTGTAGAACCAAATCATCAAAATTAAGATACAAACCAATCATGGTCAGAGTGAATGGCTGAAATGGCAAAAGCCCCAGGGGACCTCCCGTTTCACATATTCCAATAAGATTCTATTTGTTCAGTGAGCCAGCAAGACTAGTCTTTTGAACTTTGCAAACTATAGTGTTACAAAAGTTTCATTCAAGTTCTTATTTTTAAGAATATTAACTTGCAGTTTTAGGAATTAAACCTGTAACTGTAGAAAAATGGGGAAATGATTCAGAAATTCATAAATGGCATAAAGCAGTCAGCAGAATTAGCAACCCAAACAAATAGCTGAGGTACCCACAGCCATGACCCTGTTAGAAAGTGGTGGGTTGTTCAGAAGTTAAAGAAGGGAGAAATAAACAGCAGAGCTGAGGTTATAGCATTAATGTTCAAGGGCAATGGTGTTGCATAAGCCATGCTTACTTCAGTTAAAAATAAAAGATTTTCTTTTGTATAAAAAAAGTGAAATCCTGTGGCATAGTTCTGTTGTTTAATTGCTAGATGCTCATAGTTCTTCTCTAAGCATAACATTTCCTAATACAATAGTTACATAGCGTCATATTACAAACTTTCAAACAATATTCTTTTGAATAATTTCATTTCTAATATTTCCTGAAGGTTTTTACTGGAAGCCTTTAAATGCTGCTGTATACTGCATAATACATCAAATGAAATCTAATTGACAATGAAGAAATATTGAAAACAAGTGTTGAATTGCTCTTGCCATCCACTTCATGCCGAATGAAACTTTGGCAGTTGGCGCCCTGAGATGATACTGCGCTCAACTCCTTTTTCAGTGATGGCTGCTAGGCGAATCACCCCACCACTTGACCCATCTCGATCCATTGCAAGTGCAAGAGCTAAGACACAAACAGAAAATGAAATGGAATGAAGTTGAAGATGGGAAAATCTCTTTAAATCATCACATTTTTGTTCAAACCCTTACTTTTCCTCAAAGGATTGACTTAGTATCTAGCACAACCCATCACTTCTCATTTCACAACAAAGTAACATTTTGTTTTCACTCAAAAACATTTTAGATAGGCTCACTGAATGATGACAAGGTGCAGAAAACCTGTCTGAATACTTTTCCTTCTCATCTTGGATTATAGGAGCTAGCCTTCTCTGTTGTGCTGGATTTGCAATCCATTACATTTACCAACTACGACAAAAGGTAAGCCTTAAGTAAATACAGAAACTTATAAAACTATGGTAGCCAGTAACAAAAAAAAGGAAGTTTTGCAACATTGAAATCAAGTGTTGTATACTGTTGAACTGTGTAATGCAATGTTGTTTTTTGGAAGCAAAATGAGGTAGAATATGAGCCTGAACAGTACCAAGAATCATTCAAGTCTAAAAAAAGGTTCTGCCTGGTAACAGCTCTGATATTTCAGCTGCAGATTGTTACAAAGTTGGAAGTGCCAAGTGCAGCAAAGAGTAGAAAATATCCAAAGCCTGTACAGATAGCATTTTGCACTCACTGTGGGTGAAAAAGACAAAATAATCCAACAGAGCTTTAAAGAAACAATTCATACAACAAACAAGTTCACCAGACCATCCATCAAATCACAAGATGACTGTTATTGTAAAAGACAACAGTATCCATTATTGCAAAAATCAAAAGGACTGAAAGGAGTAAATAGCTTTCCATCTTGTGGCCTGGATTTCTGAACTTTGTTTGCTCTTTCCATATTTCTTTCCACCCTAATGTATTAAACCTTTTCCTTTTATCTGCCTTAATTGTGATTACATGTGTAGAGGGGCTTTGAAAAAGCATAATTTAAATTACTGCTCCCACTGTTCTTGTTAAAGGCAAGTGTGTTTCAATAAATAGTTATTTTGACTGTTACTGAAGCAAACTTGGTAATGAATTGATTTTGTCCTGGGCAGCTGCCAGTCAGACAAATTGGTCATTTTGCTGATCTAATTGGGATTTTATATATTTTTTGGTGACTCATGGAATGGACAGGCACAATTCTCAACACACTTCCCAGTTAGGTTGTGACAGTAGTGTCACTCCGTACCTTCCTCCATACCCCATGCCCTGCCCCGCTTCCTCCCCCCACCCATCCCTGCAAATGTGATTCAAAAGGAAAATGGAAAAGAAAATCCCCATCAATCTTCATAGAATGTGAAAAATCTAAGATTATCCGATATTTTTGGTAGTGCAAACATTTCACGTCATTGTCCACAAGTTTGAGGACAGGATGTGCCCCAGGGATACAACTGGTTTTACCCACTAGATCAGAAACTAGTCATTCTCAAATTCTGGCTGGACATTTCAATTCTTGAATCCATTGCTATTTCCAGTTAGAAAAGCAAGTCCTATTCATTTCAAGCTACTGGGTTTCTTTAGCTTCCATATATTAGATAAGTGTACAGTATCTGGAACCAGTTGGTATTTACTCTGGACATATCGTATGCCTAGACATTACGTTTTGGTATAATGCTGCAAGTTTCAGCTGAAACTAACTAGTATTTTGCAAATGCAAACATTTCCTCAAATAAGAAAATCTCACTGGCATTTAACATAAAGAACGTCACCTTCTGGTCTCAAGCGACAGTTCAACTTAGGGTGCAATGGTGGTTGAATAATTCTTCCTTTGAAGTACATCACCAGACTTCCAGAAATAGGATTATGAAAAAATTCTTGTTAAATAATATTAAATAATGGGCACGTTCAGATTTTAATTATAAATGATTTGGAGTGGCATATTAAATATCCAAGCATTTTCCACTTTGCCAAGTTCTCTGCAAAAAACATCAACCCATTCTCTTGCACTTTGATTGGGTACCATAACTACTTGCCGCAAAATCCCACAGCTATATGGCTCTCCATTGCACTCACCATTTGCTGTAAAATCTAAGCACTGCTCCTTTGTCATTCCAGGTTTATACGAGGAGTCGACATAGCCATAGATGTAGGTACTTCCAGAGCCACCAATGGAGAATGGCTGCCGGACCATCATGCCCCCCATTGGAACAGTGTACACCTACGACCATAAACAAGGTTATTAATCTTTCAGAGTGATCAGACTGATTCACAGATCAATCCCGATGACTTGGAGGAAGTTGTGAACTACATCTTCCAATAGTAGATACATTTAGGAGAGGGGGAAATAGCAGAAAAAAGCGAAGCATCAGCATGGGCAGATTTTCAGATCAGCTAACAGAGCAACCAAATCTGATTATATCTTCACCTCTCACTTCCTGTGACAGAGCGGTGAAGTTGGTCAGTTCAATGGATTTTCCTTTACCATACAACAGACCCCGCTCCCCTCCCGCCTTTCACAAAATGAATAAGTTGTTTCTCTGATTATTAAAAAGCACTGCATGCAGTTCTCTTTTTATTCCTCCCTTGGTGTCATCCCTGTGGGTGGTGTTGGGATGTTGGTATTATGTTAAGCAGGAGCAGTTGTCAGTTGAGCTCGATTTTCGGATGTGGATAGCCATGTTTATTGCCAGTCCTGTGTTACTTAGGTTTCCCCTTGAATTACATCATCTCTGTATTGGTGACAATTTCACAACTCGTTTAGGGAAGAAATTCCAAGCAACAAAGGTGAGTTACCTGGGATAATGGTGGTCCCATGACCTCAGTACTCATGTCCAACTTAGTGACAGTAATAGGCAAGAAGAAAGGTCAATTTCACTGTGACACCAAGTCATAACGAATTCGGACACAAGTGGTGGTTGAGCTGCAGTGTGGAAGTTGTGCAGCAGCAGCTGAACAACAGGAAACTGAAACTTTAGTTGTCATTGTTGGAGAGGTGCAACGGTAGATCACCAAACACTGATCAATTGTGCAAATTATTACGATATAATGAGGATACAAGGAATACAGTCTCATACTGCGGATGCTGTGGATCTGAAATAAAAGCAAAATGCGGGAGAAATCCAAAAAGTCTGGAAGGAGAAACAGAGTTAATGCTTAGCATCCAATGTCACCTGTTCAAAACTGAAGGGTCTGAAAAATTATGGGTTTAAGACTGTTAACAAAGGGGAGGAACAGTCGTAGAACATATTGTGTGGATGCTTAGAGCAAAAGATAAATGAGTGCTAGTGCTAGTACAAGAGAGATCTAGATGCAAAGTAAGTGTTGACGACAGGTGTGAATAGCAGAAAGTACGTTGCTGAGAGCAAACCGGTGGAAACAAGGCAATCAGGGAAGACTGCATAATCAAAATGCAGGATAGTGTTCATACTCTGATGCTTTGAACTCAACACTGAGTTCTGAAGGCTGTGAAGTGCCAAGGTGGAACAGGAGATGCTATTCCTCTAGCTTGTGTTAGGTTTCACTGGAACACTGTAGCAGGAATGTTAGCACGAGATCAATATGGTGTTTTGACATGCCAATCAACTGTAAGGTAGGGTTCATTCTTACAGACAGAGCAGGGACATTCTTCAAAGCAGTCACGCAGTTTGCATTTGGTCTTGCCAGGAGAACCATATCGCTGTTCTGAGAGGGAAGGGAAGGGGAGAGAATAGAAATGGCTGAGGGCTCTGTCAACTACAAAAGAGGAAGTCCTCAACTGAGGAAAAAGGCATATCAAAAACAACCCTGTGGAAAAAAAATGGTCAAAGTGTGGCCTTAAGCAAGTCAGCACCAATGTTGTGGGTAGGTCAGAGAAGGAAGGTGGGATGGAATCCCAGTACAGAATTACTGAAGGGGTGAACATGGAGGGAAGACATAACAACTCATTAAGAGGACCTCAAATATCAAAGTTAAATATGGGGCAGTGACTCAAGATAACAATGAGAAAATTTTATCTTCACTTTATTCCTTTGGCTAGTTGGCTAGAGCCCAGCATCCCTCCACATCTTTGCAGATCATCAAAATCTAAGAGAAAACTAATAGTTCAACTATAAACCTTACTTGTCCACCTTTTCTTTTATCCCACCCAGCAACAATGATGCCAGCCATCAGCTCTTCTCGGTATTTGTAGCACATGTCTTTGAATAAATTAGCAGCTGTCTGCACGAGTGGAAGTTCATCAAGTTCAATGCTGTAAAGAAAGTGAGACAGAAACTAACAGCGTGTCGATAGATACCAAAAACGGTGAGTTAAATTCCTTCTTATTCCTCAGTGTCCTTATAGCCTGCAGACGTACATATGATTCTCACTCCACAGAGACACTCTTTGGGCCTCCAGTGCCCTTGGAATACCCAAGATGTACTTGAATACCTGGGTCCCACATCCTCAGGGTGGCTAACATCTTGTCACTGGTCAGCTAGCTGTGATTCCAGCAGCCACCATTTAAACAAAGGCACAGAATTAACAATTAAGAGTCATTGTTTGCATTTCTCCCTTCACCTTTGTAGCTGGCCCCTCACTCCCACCTGCACCCTCATGTTCCCTGCAATTCATTTTTCTCCTGTCTGTCCTTTCACCAAGTTAACTAGCATTAAGCTTTTGCTGCTCTATCACTGAGTAAGATTTAAAGTTCAAAACAGCACATTTTGATAATATTCTCTTCACTGCAATATCTACAGAATTAATGTTTTATTGCACATCCTGTACCATAAAGATTCTAAAGAGCCATAATGGTTTTGAAACATCAACTTGGTTTCTCTCTCCACAGATACTGTCAATCCTGCTCAGTATTTCAGCATTTTCTGTTTTTGTACCATAGATGTCCTGAGCATTTCAGACAGTGGAGCGCACGTTGACACAAACACATTTGATGCATTACACAGTCTTAACCAGCCACCAGCTCTCTGAGCTAAAGTTGATTAATACGAAGGGACAAAAATGGTTGAATGACACCAAACATCTAGTTCATTAAATGTGTCAATAACAACTGGTTAACCATAGTCTGGAGCCTTAAGGGGCAGGGACCAAGAGAGAATGAGGTGAGAAAGTGGACAATGCTCCCTGATGGTGCAAATAGCTCTTCCTACCCCAACTATACCTTACACTTTGACAGCCATTCAAGGAAAGGGTGGAAGTTTAAAAAGTTAATGACCTCAACCAAAAGACAATACATGGGCCTATGCCCCAGACCCAGAAAAATCTTGTATCTAACACGAAAGGCCGATTTGATAGATTGCAGATAGCAGCATTTTAATTTGAATAAAAATCTGGCTGTAAACAACCATTTTGGGCAGAGAGAAATATTCTGAGGCAGTCACTGTATCTCAACAGGAAGAAGGGGAAAGGGTATCCAGGGCTGTGTATTAAACCAGAGCAACCAACCACAGTGCTGTAGAATAAAATGAGCCTTCACTCACTCCTAGGACTCGATCAGCTCACTCCATTGAACTACCTCCAACGATTCAATTACAGAAACCATCAAGTTGCTGAATTCTGATTGAGTTTTTAAACTCCTTCACTTCAGAAGATGAATCAGCAGGCAAGCAAGGCTTCAGCAAAAGTAGAGGACTGATGGTACTTTCACCTTCACGTGTAATGTGCATCCATACTTCCTTTAAAAATCTTTCTATTTTAAATAAGTATCACATTTTACTTAAATCACTGTCAACAAGAATACTACATTTTATAATTCACAGACCACTCACATGATATAACAAGGTGTAGAGCTGGATGAACACAGCAGGCCAAGCAGCATCATAGGAGCAGGAAGGCTGACGTTTCGGGCCGAGACCCTTCATCAGAAATGGGGGAGGGGAAGGGGGTTCTGAAATAAATAGGGAGAGAGGGGGAGGCGGATAGAAGATGGATAGAGGAGAAGATAGGTGGAGAGGAAACAGACAGGTCAAAGAGGCGGGGATGGAGCCAGTAAAGGTGAGTGTAGGTGGGGAAGTAGGGAGAAGATAGGTCAGTCCAGGGAGGACGGACAGGTCAAGGGGGCGGGATGAGATTAGTAGGTAGGAGATGGGGGTGCGGCTTGAGGAGGGAGGAGGGGATAGGTGGGAGGAAGAACAGGTTAGGAAGGCGGGGACGAGCTGGGCTGGTTTTGGGATGCGGTAGGGGGAGGGGAGATTTTGAAGCTTGTGAAATCCACATTGATACCATTGGGCTGCAGGGTTCCCAAGCGGAATACGAGTTGCTGTTCCTGCAGCCTTTGGGTGGCATCGTTGTGGCACTGCAGGAGGCCCAGGATGGACATGTCGTCTGAGGAATGGGAGCGGGGAGTTGAAATGGTTCGCAACTGGGAGGTGCAGTTGTTCATTGCGAACCAAGCGTAGGTGTTCTGCAAAGCGGTCCCCAAGCCTCCGCTTGGTTTCCCCGATGTAGAGGAGGCCACAATGGGTACAGCGGATGCAGTATACCACATTAGCAGATGTGCAGGTGAACATCTGCTTGATGTGGAAAGTCTTCTTGGGGCCTGGGATGGGGGTGAGGGAGGAGCTGTGGGGGCAGGTGTAGCACTTCCTGCGGTTGCAGGGAAAAGTGCCGGGTGTGGTGGGGCTGGAGCGGAGTGTGGAGCGGACAAGGGAGTCACGGAGAGAGTGGTCCCTCCGGAAAGCAGATAAGGGTGGGGAGGGAAAAATGTCTTTGGTGGTGGGGGCGGATAGCAGATGGCAGAAGTGTCGGAGGATGATGCGTTGGATCCGGAGGTTGGTGGGGTGGTACGTGAGGACGAGGGGGATTCTGTTTTGGTTGTTATTGCGGGGAGGGGGTGTGAGGGTTGAGTTGCGGGAAATGCGGGAGACACTGTGGAGGGCGTTCTCGACCACTGAGGGGGGGGGAAGTTGCGGTCCTTGAAAACGAGGACATCTGAGATGTACGGGAGTGGAATGACTCATCCTGGGAGCAGATGCGGCAGAGGCAAAGGAATTGGGAATAGGGGATGGCATTTTTGCAGGAAGGTGGGTGGGAGGAGGTGTATTCTAGGTAGCTGTGGGAGTCGGTGGGCTTGAAATGGATATCGGTTTCTAGGTGGTTGCCCGAGATGGAGACAGAGAGGTCCAGGAAGGTGAGAGAGGTATTAGAGATGGTCCAGGTGAACTTAAGGTTGGGGTGGAAGGTGTTGGTGAAGTGGATGAACTGTTCGAGCTCCTCGTGGGAGCACAAGGCGGCGCCGATATAGTCATCAATGTAACGGAGAAAGAGGTGGGGTTTAGGGCCAGTGTAGGTACCGAAGAGGGATTGTTCCACGTAACCTACAAAGAGGCAGGCATAGCTTGGGCCCATGCGGGTACCCATGGCCACCCACGTAACCTATAAAGAGGCAGGCATAGCTTGGGCCCATGCGGGTACCCATGACCACCCTCCACGTAACCTACAAAGAGGCAGGCACAGCTTGGGCCCATGCGGCTACAAAGAGGCAGGCATAGCTTGGGCCCATGCACGTCCCAGTCGCGAACCACTTCAACTCCCCCCTCCCATTCCTCAGACGACATGTCCATCCTGGGCCTCCTGCAGTGCCACAACGATGCCACCCGAAGGTTGCAGGAACAGCAACTCATATTCCGCTTGGGAACCCTGCAGCCCAATGGTATCAATGTGGATTTCACAAGCTTCAAAATCTCCCCTCCCCCTACCGCATCCCAAAACCAGCCCTGCTCATCCCCGCCTTCCTAACCTGTTCTTCCTCCCACCTATCCCCTCCTCCCTCCTCAAGCCGCACCCCCATCTCCTACCTACTAATCTCATCCCGCCCCCTTGACCTGTCCGTCCTCCTTGGACTGACCTATCTTCTCCCTACTTCCCCACCTACACTCACCTTTACTGGCTCCATCCTCACCTCTTTGACCTGTCTGTTTCCTCTCCACCTATCTTCTCCTCTACCCATCTTCTATCCGCCTCCCCCGCTCTCCCTATTTATTTCAGAACCCCCTTCCCCTTCCCCTCCCCCATTTCTGATGAAGGGTCTCGGCCCGAAACGTCAGCCTTCCTGCTCCTATGATGCTGCTTGGCCTGCTGTGTTCATCCAGCTCTACACCTTGTTATCTCAGATTCTCCAGCATCTGCAGTTCCTACTAACTCAGATGATATGCCTGGTTTGGTATTGACGCAGGCACCAGCTCATTTCACTGGATTTGCATTCCTATCATTTGAGAGATAATACAGTCAACAACACCTTGCACTTTGGAGTTTAGAATCACTGTTCCTGACTGTTTAATCATTTTCAACGAAAAGGGCAGTACTTATTTTTCCTCCAGTTTTGCCCTTGCACAGCATGGACAGGTTTATTTTAGGGTCTTACCTTTGATCCACTCTTTCTAGTTGGACACCCAAGAAATTAAGGACAACATATGTACATGGATAGGAAATTGGTTGAGTGGCAGGAAACAGAGATTTGGAAAATGGGTAAGGACTCAAACTGGCAGGGCGTGACAAATGGTGTCCTGCAGGGATCTGTGTTGGGGCCTCACTTATTCACCATATTCATTAATGACTTGGATAATGGCATAAAAAGTCAAATATCCAAAATTTGTTGACGACAAACTTGGGCAATACTGTAGACAGTGCTGACGACAGTACAAAATTACATCAGGATATTGATAGATTAGGTGAATGGACAAAAGCGTAGCAGATAGATTTCAATATAAGCACGTGAGGTTATCCATTTCGGACCGAGAAAAGATAGATCAGATGATTTTTTAAAAGGCACAAAGATAAACACAGACTTGGCGCTCTTTAAACTGCCCCATACACGGGTACAGAAAGTAGTCAAGGCAGCTATATGGAATGCTGGCCTTTATGTCTAAAAGGCCTGGGGTACAAGGATACCAACGTTATGCTGCAATTTTCAAAATCCTAGTTAGACCCCAGAGTACTGAGTGTGGATCTGGGCATCACATCTTGGGAAGAATGTTTTGGCCCTGGAGGGAGTTCAATGCAGGCTTACAAGGAGTGAATCGAATTGAATTAGTTTTATTTTCACTGTACTCATTTGAGTACATGTGACAAGTTTATAAGTCACCACTTACAGCACCACTTTAGGTACAGAGTACCTGGGTACAATCCTTAGTTACAGAATGAAGAAATGAAGAAAAAGTTACATTACAACCATACACAGTATAACTACAGTCAGAAAAACAAAAGTTGAAAAGACAAACACCACCAGTCCAGGATGATACCTGGACTTCACGAGAGACGAGACAAACTAGGTCACAGGTTGAAGATTCTACAACCAGGTGGCATGGTCTAAAAATTAGGGCTAAGCCATTCAGGAGATGTTAGAAAGCAGTTCTAAACACAAAGAGTAGTGCAAGCTTGGAACACTTCCTCAAGCAGCAGTTGATGCTATTTCAATCGTTAAATTTAAACCTGAAATAGACAATTTTTTACTAAGCAAGGGCATTCAGGGATATAGGCCCAAGGCAGGCACATGGAGTTAGGCCCCAGGTCAGCCATGACCTTATTGAGTGGCAGAGCAGGCTCGAGGTGCTCACCTTTGGGTAATGGTAGCAGATTTAATAGTAACATTTAGGAGGAACTGGCGCAAATACTTGAAAACAAAACCAACTCCCAAGCTATGGGGAAAAAGCACAGGAGTAGGATTAATTACATAATGTAGCTTCAAAGATCTAGCACATGTTGACAAACCAAATTGCCTCCTCCAGTGCTGTCAGGATTCTCTACACCAAGCAATCCAAAATCAAACTCAGCGATCATCTCTCCAATCACTCCACTCAGGCCCAATGACAGAATTAAATCCCACTCACTACAGCAAAATCACATTTCCTCAAGGGTCTTGAAGCAGACACTAATAGTGTGAATATTGCCCACTCTCAACTTTAATTTAAAATCCATATTCATTAAGTTTCTTTCATTCATAATCCATCCCTGCGTCTCATCAGGTTTAAAATCGGATCTGAATAATATTCACGTAGGGACCAACCTGTGGAAACCAAGCTGATAGGCCACTGCGTCTGCAATTGCTTGGGTATCTGCTGCAGATCCTGAGCGACAACAGAAAATCAGATCATGAATCGGAGTCAGTTTATCTGTTACCCTATTTGCGATGTATGACCTGAGGAAAAAAAATTTGTAGTGCATTACAAGAAATGCTCATGATTGCAACTGCACAGGAGGTGTAGACAGACATTCACTAGGACTCTATGATTTCATAAAGAATTTGAATTTCACCAAAATCACCATTTGGCCATTTTCACATGGGCTCACGTATTGTCTGAAAGATAAATGCATGTAGGGCAAGGGGAACAAAAAGGAGAAAATGTTGAACAAAAACAAAGTTGCTGGAAAAGCTCAGCAGGTCTGGCAGCATCTATGAAGGAAAAAAACAGAGTTAACGTTTCGGGTCCAGTGACCCTTCCTCAGAACTGATGATAGCTGGGAAAACGTCAGTTTATATGCAAAAAAAGGGGAAGGGGATGGGGTAGGGAGTAAACAATAGGATAGAGATGAGAGAGAGAAGAGCAGTTGGACAGACAAAGAGTTGATAACGATCAGGCTGGGAGGGTGAATAGCTGTTAACACGGACTATTAGTGACTAATAACAGGTAGTGTGTAATGGCTGGCTATGTGGTAACAAGGCCTGGTGTGTGGGGTAGGGGTTTGGGACATGGAAGAGTTCAGGCCCTAAAATTATTGAACTCGATATTGAGTCCGGAGGGCTGCAGGGTCCCCAAGCGGAAAATGAGGTGTTGTTCTTCTAGCTTACGTAGAGCTTCGCTGGAACACTGCAGCAAGCCAGAGACAAGCATGTTGGTCAGGGGACAGGGTGGTGCGTTAAAGTGACATGCAACAGGTGGTTCAGGGTCTTTTTTGCAAGCAGAACGTAGATGTTCTGCGAAGCGGTCACCCATTTATTTAGCACCAATTTGATCATATTCAATTTGCTCCTCTGATGCTGCCTGGCCTGCTGTGCTCCTCCAGCCCCACACTGTTATCTCTGACTCCAGTATTGGCAGTTCTTACTATCTCTTCAATTTGCAACTGTTCAGATTCTCGTTTTGGATTCTTTATCTGCACTACCCCCAATTTTCTGGATCCTGCCACTCCATTCCTTCCAATAAGCTACTCATCTGCAATACTTCCATAAAGTTCTGGACACTGTGGTTTCACCATTCCCTACAGATGGTGCCTGAAAATGCTGAGCGTTGCAAACATGTTCTACATTATAAATCCAGCACTAGATTAATTTAGATGAAGGGGTATCTGCGAATAAAAGGAAAAAGTAATTATCACAATGTGCCAGCAAGAACTGCAGATGCTGGAGTCAGAGATAACAAAGTAGAGAGCTGGGGGAACACAGCAGACCAGGCAGCATCAGAGGAACAGGAAAGCTGATGTTTCAGGTCAGGATCCTTCTTCAGGAACTCCTGTTTACAAAATCCAAGGAAATAGTGTTTATTACTCTGATCTACAGGCCTGGATAGTATTCAGCAGTAACAGCGCTGTAAATTTCCCCAACATTACACCTACAGTCCAAAGTTTTTGTCCTCAAACTCAAAAGATTATAATTTTCTAAGATGTCTACCATTCTAATTGAAGCCACCCCACCTCCTGGTCTCCATAACTGTTGTTGGCTAGTGTCTCCCAGGTGTGAAAAATCACAGCTTACGGCCTTAATGTCATACTGAAAGCACCCTTGAAACTTTTCGTAGAAAGGGAGAACAAGTTACTGACATGGGAGACACAGGTCACGTCTTTTTAGCTTCATTCCAAATGAGCATCACCAGTATGGAGGAGTTCCCTGATCAAGACATAATGTTAAGTTGTGGATTCAAAACTCACTGTAGAGCACCAAGTACAGTACTGACGGTGCACTGCCATGTTGAAGATATTAACTGGAGGTCCTCTCAACTAGACATGAAAAGTCCGATGATACCAGTCTGAAGTGGAGCCAGGGATTTCTCATACAAAGTCAGGCCAATACTTTCAGGAGTGTACTGAATGAAATTAACCATCAAGAATAATCAACTCTGGATACTGGAACCAATTTAAAGTAATACATGCACAACTTCAAGCCCATGTGATGTCCATCAGGTTCATGCCCATGTTACAGTCACTGTCTAAAATCAGCTGCCTTACCCTGTGGTAGTTCGAGAATCAGCACCAATAACAACTCCACCGTCAAACTCCACAGCCATAATGGTTGTCTGTTTAGAAGAAATAAATTTTACATAAGAATATATACAAATGCATCCACCACAGGAGAAAGAGAGAAACTAAACATGTGAAGTCAGAGAAGTTCGAGTAAAATAAGGACTTATTGTATAATCACTCAATTTACAGCATACCCTACATTTAATACTGATTAACATTAGATTTTTTTTATTTGAATTATTGCTGTCACATACCTAAGTACAGTGAAAAGCTTTGTTTGGGAGCAGTACAGGCAGATCATAGTAAGCAAGGACATAGGGTGCTTAGACAGAATGAGGCATACAGGTAACACTGCACAAGAGATGCGCAAAGCAAGATCAACATTATTTGAAGTTACAGCATCTATTCATCAGTCTACTAATGGCAGGGAAGAAGCTGTTCTTGAAACGGTTGGCACGTGTTCAAGCTTCTTTATCTTCTGCCCGACAGAAGAGGTTGTAGGAGAACATTGCCAGGGTGACAGGAGTCTTTGATGATGTTGGCAGCCTTTCCATGGCAACAAGAAGTGTAAATGGAGTCCATGAATGGAAGGTTGCCTTCTGTGATGGTGTGGGCTGTGCACACAACCTTCTGTATTTTCTTACAGTTATGGGCAGAGCAGTTGCCATTCCAGGCTATTATGCACCTGGATAGTATACTTTCTATGGTACTTCTGTAAAGGTTGGTGAGAGTCCTCATGGACATGCCGAATTTCCGAAGTCGCCTTAGTAAGAAGAGGTGTTAAGAACATAGAACAGTACAGGCCCTTCGGCCCACGATGTTGTGCCGACCTATTGTCCTACTAAGATCAAACTACCCTGCATACCCTACATTATACTATCATCCATGTGCCTATCCAAGAATCACTTAAAAGTCCCTAAAGTATCTGACTCCACTACCACTGCCAGAAGCGTAGTCCACACGCCCACCACTCTCCGTGTACAGAACCTACCTCTGACATCTCCCCTATACCTTCCTCCAATCACCTTAAAATTATGCCCCCTTGTAATAGTCATTTCCGTCCTAGGAAAAAGGTTCTGGCTATCCACTCTATCTATGCCTCTCAGGTCTTGTTGTGCCTTCTTGACCGTCACATCTACGTCGGTAAGTCCAGGACAGGTTGTCGGTTATTGTCACTCCTGGGAACTTGACACTCTTATCCCTCTCGATCTCAGTTCCATTGATGTAGATGGGGGCGTGTTTGCCTCCTTTCTTCCTGAAGTCAATGATCAGTTCTTTTGTTTTGGCGACACTGAGAGGTTGTTATCATTGCACCACGACACTAAGCCCTCTATCTCCCTTCTGTATTCTGACTCATCGTTGTTTGATATCTGTCCTACGACGGTGGTGTCGTCAGCAAACTTGTAGATATGTTCATTCAAAATTTGGCTACATGGGCATGTGTGTGTGCAGGGAGTACACTAGGGGGCTGAGAATGCATCCTTGGGGGGCTCCAGTGTCGAGTGTTATTGTGGAGGAGGTGCAATTGCCCGTTCATGGGGCTGGGGGTTGGAGCAGAGTCCCGAGACTGTAATAATGAGTCCAGTAACAAACAACAGCACTATAGGTTTCACCACATGCAAGATCCGGCTCACTATGATTTTTTCCAGGGCAGATAATAAATTCTGGTCTGGCCATAACACACTTATTCCACAAATGAATTAAAGGGAACATATTCCTTAAAACCTACCACAGCCAAGCTTTTAGGCCTCCCTTTACCTTTAGATTATGGCACTCTCACTATTTGTTCCACTCGTTCCTCCCCCTGCCTTGCCAATGGTATAAAAACTCAGATTTAACTTTCCAGTCACCTTCAGCTCTAAAGAAAAGCAGCAAATAGGACTCAAAAGATTAACTCTGTTTCTCTCTCCACAAATGCTGCCTGACCCATTGAATTTCTCCACTTCTGCTTTTTTTTTGTAGTCAAGTTTTTGGTCATCTACCCTAATATCATGAGATCATTCCAGCACAGAAGACTAGCTGACCATCATATCCCAAGGTCTGTACTGACCCTGCAGGAAAAATTCACACCACTGCCCAGAATAGACATAGGCATTGCTGGGTGGGTATTGCCTGTTGCTAGTTGCTCTTGAGAAGGTAGTGACCAGCCTTCTTGAACCACTGCAGCCCAGGTGCTGTAGCTTGACCCACCATGCTCTTAGGGAGGGAATTCCAGGATGTTGGCCCAGGGGCAGAGGAGGATGGGCAATATATTTCCAAGTCAGTTTGTTGAGCAGCTTGGAGAGGAACTTGTAGGTGGCAGTGTTCCCGTGTTTCAGCTGCCCTTGTCCTTTGAGAAAGAAGTGGTCATGGAGTTGGCAAGTGCTATCTAAGAATCTTTGGTGAATTTCTACAGTGCACCTTGTAGATGGTACACACTGCCAGAATGAGTTGGTAGAGCAGGTAGTGGAAGTTTGCAAATGTGATACCAATCAAGCGGGCAGCTTTGTCCTGGATGGTGTCAAGCTTCTTGATGTTGTTGCAGCTGCACTTACTCAGGCAAGTGGGAAGTATTCCATCACACTCCTGACTTGCCCTTGCAGATGGTGGACAGACTTTGTGGGGTCATGTGGTGAGTTACCTGCTGTAGTATTCCTGGTCTCTGATCTGCTCTTGGAGCCACATTATTCATATGGGGAGTCCAACGTTTTCTTTAAAGGAATCGTGGAATTCCTACAGTGTGGAAGCAGGCCATTTGGCCCATCGAGTCCACACCATCCCTTTGAAGAGCATCCCACATAGACCCAACCCCCTATGTTATCCCTGTAACCCTGCATTTCCCATGGCTAATCCACCCAACCTACACATCCCTGGACACTATAGGGAATTTAGCATGGCCGATCCACCCTAACCTGCACATCTTTGGACTGTAGGAGGAAACCAGAGCACCTGGAAGAAACCCACACAGACACTGGGAGTAAGTGCAAACTCCACAGAGACAGTCACCCGAGAATGGAACAGGACTTGGATCTCTGGTGCTGTAAGGCAACAGTGCAAACCACTGAGCCACCCCATCACCAGTTGAGTTTCTGGACCATGCTGACCCCTGTTGATAGTGAGGGATTCAGTGATGGTAACACCATTGAATGTCATGCTGCAGTGGTTAGATTATCCATTACTGGAGATGGTCATTGCCTGGCATTTGTGTAGCTCAAATGTTATATGCCACTTCTCAGCCCAAGCCTGAATTTTGTCCAGGTCTTGTTGCATTTTAATTTGGACTGTTCCAGTATCTGTGGAGTCACGCATGGTGAACATTGCACGACCATCAGCAAAGAGCCTCTACTTCTGATTCTATGTTGGAGCGGTGGTCTTGATGAAGCAGCTGAAGATGACTGGGCATAGAACACTAAACTGAGGAACTCCTAAAGTGATGTCCTAGAGATGAGATGGCTAATCTCCCACAATCACAACCATCTTCCTAGGTGCCCGGTATGCTCCAACCAAAGGATAGGTTGCCCTTTGATACCCACTGACTCCTGTTTCACTAGGGCTCCTTGATGCCACACTTGGTCAAATGCAGTTTCAATGTCAAGGACTATCACTCTCACCTAACCTCTTGAATTCGTCTTCTTCCATGTATGAACCAAGGCGGTAATGAGGTCAGGGTTTGAGTGGCCCTGCCAGAACACAAACTGCACATCACTGAGCAGGTTGTGGTTAAATAGATGCTGCTTGATAGCACGGTTGATGACACTTGTCATTACTTTATTGATGATCGAAAGTAGACTTGTGGGTAATAATTGACTGGGTTGGGTTTGCCCTGCTTTGTGCGTACAGGCATTTTTCCATTCTGTCAGGTAGATGCTAGTGTTATAGCTGTACTGAAAGAGCTTGGTCTGGGAGCATAGGTCTTCAATACTATTGCCAAAATGTTATTGGGACTCACGGCCTTTCCAGAATCCCACCCAGACCCACCCCCTACACCATCCCTGTATTTCCCATCCTAGACATTATGGGCAATTTAGCATAGCCAATCCGCCTAATCCGCACACCTTTGGACAATGGGAAGAAACTGGAGCACCCGGAGAAAACTCACGCAGACACGAGAAGAATGTACTAACTCCACACAGACAATGTGAGGCCAAGGCTGGAATCGAACCTGGGTCCCTGGCACTGTGAGGCAGCAGTGCTAACCACTGAGCACTCCTACACTCTCCATTAATCCTCTGGCTTGACAGCAATGGGCAGAGTTGGGGCTATGCCAGCCACAAGGTTGCAGATTGTGTTGAAGTATGATTCTGCTGCTGCTGTTGACCCACAGTGTCTCTGGAAGCCCAGCCTTGGAATTGCTAGAACTGTTCAAAGTCTGTCCCATTTAGCATAATTATAATGCCACACAACATGGTGGAGGCATTCTCAGTTTGAAAGCAGGGCTTCTTCCTCACCAGGATTGTGTGGGGGTCATTCTCACCAATACTGTTATGGACAAATACATCTGCAGCCAGCAGATTGGTTAAGGATGAGGTCAGTTATGGTTTTCCATCATGTTGGTTCTCTCGCCACCTGCCACAAACACAGTATAGTGGCACTTTACTTTAGGACCCAACCAGTTCATTTGGTGCTGTGATTTATTCTCTCCAGAAAATTATCCAGTTCCCTTCTGAAAGCCAGTTATGAATTGTTTTCCACTTGTCACTCATCCAGTCAGTTCCATATGCTGATCATTGGCAGCCTGTCTCCTCCAGTATCCATCCCTCTTATTTTAGACCCTGACTTCACCCTCTGCGACTACCCTGAAACACATCGTCCACTCCAACATATCATACCCTAAATTTTCCCCTTTCCCCCACCAACTCCCACATTATTCTCCAAGCGCCTCCCCTCACCAACAACCTCCCAATCATAAGGTCCTGACCACACGCTCCCCAACCCCACCGGCCAACGCCCCTAATCCCAATCTCACTCACTCCCACCCACCCCCATCGGAAAGAACCTCTCTCTTCCCGCCCCACCATCACCATCCAATTCGTCTCTGGCTGGAGCCCTCAGGAATGGTCACACAGCGGCTCCCAACATATGCTGCATCACCAGAACAGGGGAGGGCCCCGGACACCGAACTGCAGACTCCCCAGCCCCCAACAGCACCACCTGGGACTGCGCTCTCATACTCACTCCCGTGCTGACTTCCTGGCTCATCCACTCGGGGTAGAGACTGGACTCACACGGAGCAGGAGCGAAGCAGCGGCTCACACCCGGCGCCACGGTCTCAAACACAGTCGCCATCTTCACTAACACAAACAGGATGCCGGGAACTCGGAGGACCGGGCGCCGTAGGGATTGCCGGGAAGGCGGAGGACCGTATGATGTGAGGCTTGTCGGGAAATGTAGTTTATTTAGAACATAGAGATAGCAAGGTGTAGAGCTGGATGAACACAGCAGACCAAGCAGCATCAGAGGAGCAGGAAGGCTGACGTTTCGGGCCTAGACCCTTCTTCAGAAATACAGCACAGTACAGGTCCTTTTTCTGGCTGGCTACTCTATCAATACCTCTGATCATTTTGTACACCTCTATCAAGTCACCGCTCATCCTTCGTCGTTCTAAAGAGAAAAGCCCTAGTTCTCTCAACCTTTCCCCGTAAGACCTCCATTCCATTCCAGGCCACATTCTGGTAAATATCCTCTGCACCTTTTCCAATGCTTCCACATCTTTCCTGTAATGAGGCAACCAGAACTGGACAATACTCCAGATGTGGCCAAACCAGGGTTTTGTATTTGTTCAATGTTTCAAGTGCAAGAGCTCTCTGACCAGAATGTGCACTTATACAACACCCTTAACAATCAAACATTATCAAAATGAATCCCAGGAGCGATCATCAAAAGGACACTTTGACACTGAGCCACAGAAAGGGAGATAATTCGCCTGGGGGAGTAATCAAATTAAATAGAGACGATGGAGAAACTCTTCCTATTAATGGAAGGATGGAGAGGCAGAGGGCATGTGGAGAACCGTTGTCACACAGCAAGTAGTTAGGATCTGCAATGCACTGCCAGAGAGTCGACAAACCCTTTTGGCCTTTCAAGCCTGCTCTGCCATTCAATCAGATCATGGTTGATCTGTTTCAAATTCGTAAGAGAAGACTCAAAGGAAAATAAATACTCCTTATTTGAATCCTTTAAGCGTGAACCCCAACTTTAAAACAAATTGCCTTATTTCAGACTTATCCACAAGAGGAAACATCCTTTCCACATCAACCTGGTCAAGATGCTCACACTTCTGAACTCCAGTGGAAACAAACCTAGTCTATCACATCATCATGTCATAAAGCAATCTACTCTTAGTCTCAATCTGGTTGACTTCTTATGTACACCATATTTGAAATGTGGTGTCATTGGTACCCCTTATAACTGAAACATATTCATTCATGGGATGTGTGGGCTGCATGGAGACAGGGATTGTTTGAGGAGTTGCAAATTGAAGTAAATGTTGTGCACCCCCACTTCTGACTTTATGATTAATTAAGCAGATGAAGATGCCTGGGCTGAGGACACTATCCTGAGGAAATCCTGCACAGATGTCTTGGAGTGGAGCTGACTGACCTCCAACAACCACATGCATCTTTTTTGCTAGGTAAGGCAAGATCTACCAATAAAATTTCTCAATTCTCATTGACTATAATTTTTTCAGGGCTCCTGGATACTACAATCAGAACAAATGCTGTGTTTACATCAGGGGCAATCCCACTCACCTCACCTCAGGAAGTGTGGTCTTTCATTCATTTGGAACCGGTGTTGAAATTTGGTCTGAAGTAAGATAACCTTGGCAGAATTCTAACTACATCAGGGAACAAGTTACTGCAAATTAGTGCCACTTTATAGCATTAACAAATTCAGTTAAATGTCGTGATAGAATAAGAACAGTGATTTGATGCAATGACCAGACCAGGCAGTTATGCATTTATATGTATAGAAATAGAGTATTTAAATCAATTAATTTGGTTTTAGAAGATTTGCTGCAACCAGTTAGGCTTCATCATTGTGCTGGTCATAACAGAATTCACTCAGTCCTAAGTAACTCACTCAGTTGTTTCAGCAGTCACTATCTTAATGCTGTGCATTAGGGTTAGAATTCTTGAATATTTTTAATTAATCGATTCATTATATAAACACAACTATTTCTTCTAAATGCAACATTTTTATTGCCCCTTGAAAGCAACTTCGACAAATCCCATTGATGGAAAGTAATCTTCTTGTTGATTGCCAAACAGCTTTTTTACCCCATTTGATAAAACACGCTGAGTCTAAGGTAATTCAAGCATATTATACAGTGCATACATGCCTTGTGTAACGTTATAAACTCTGTCAATCAATTTCACAGCCCTCCAAAGTTTGTCTTTGGTCTCTTTGTTGTCTTCCAGACACAGTATCTTCAGGAAATCTGTCCGTACTGGAAGGGCAAGGAATGCAATCCCAGCAGCTTTTCGCACAAGCCAGCTGTGATACTTAGCGAGGGACTGCTCATAGGCTTCTGCGCAACTGATAGGCATTGAGTCGTTCTCAGAGCTGACCCTTAATTTATCAAGGAAGAGCTGTAGCCACCGTAGTGCTCGGTGGAGACGGAGTAAAGTGCGGCAGCCCGATTGCAAGCGGTCACTGGGAAGTTCACGGAAATTAACCACATTGTTTGTTAATTCATAATTAATCATGGACCTCATGGATGTGTATTCCTTTCCATGCACTCCCTGCTGATGTTCAATGAGTATTCTCATTTTGCTGGCGACTTCTTCAGATATAAATCCAAATATAGTGCCAAGTGCATCAATAAATCTAAAAACAAACAAACCAGACTGCATTTCAGGAACAATAGGCTTGATCACATTTGCTCTGGAGCCAGGTCAATGTGAGAACGATTACAGCATTGCCAATGCCCAGTGCTGGAAACAGGAAAACAGGTATCTAGAATTTCTTGCTAACAACTTGCCACAGTCACACTTCTTACCCAAGAATCAATCACCACATATTTTATCTTAGAGATAGTAGGAGCTGCAGATGCTGGAGAATCTGAGATAACAAGGTGTAGAGCTGGATGAACACAGCAGGCCAAGCAGCATCAGAGGAGCAGGAAGGCTGACGTTTTGGGCCTTTT